TAAATAATGCTCTCAGATTGGCTACTTGTAAACCTCCCACTCCCAAAAATACTATTGTGGAGGATATTTGCAGTTTCTGTAAAATTATTAGTTAGGTTCTAAGGAAAAGTCCATGAATGACTGGTGCTGCAAACTCTGAACCCCAACTCTGTAGGGGGAATACTGGACATATTTGTAAGGGAACAATCCAAAAGAAAGAGACACAGTCATAAAATGTATATGCATCAAATACCAGCTTACCCATCAATTAATGGACTTGAAAAATCAATTAAACACTAATGCACTTGTAATGAGGGACCTTGATATCCCACTGTTACAAAAAGACAGATCAACTAGACAGAAAACCCACAAATAATTATCATAGTAGAACCAAACTTTTGAACAATGGACTTACTGATGTCTAGAGAGTGTTCCACCCCACAACATCAGAATATACAGTCTCAGCTGCACATGGCACATTCCCCAAAACTGTCCACATACTAGCTCATAGAACATGCTTAAGTAAATGTGAAGGAACTGAAATTATCCCATGCATATTATCACAACACAGGCAATGAAATTAGAAATCAATGGCAAATGAAATGACAAAAAAAATCAAAATTAAATAGCATCCTCTTGACCAAACAATGGGTCATAGATGAAATTAAAGAACAAATTAAAGATAGTTTCTACAATTGAACAGTAATGTCAATACAACATACCAGAGCTTATGGTATACCATTAAAGTGGTCCTACAAGGGAAATTTGTAACATTGAATTGTCACATTAGAAAAACAAGCTTGGGGGTCTAAGTGCCTGCCTGGCAAGCACAAGGACCCAAGTGCTTGGGTCCCTGGTACCACATGCTATACTAGCTCCAGAACGGGGTATGGTGGTACATGTCTATAATCACAGGACTAAGGGAGGCTGAGACAGAAGGATCTCTACAAGTCTGAGCTGCATAGCAAGACCTTGTACCAAATAAATAAATTTTTAAAAAAGAAAAACAGAGCAAGATCAAATAAACAACCTAATAATGGTGAACCTCAAGCTTCTAAAAAAATAAGAGCAAGTCAAACCAAAAGCTTATACAAAGGAGAAAATTATGAAGAGCAGAGCAGAAATTAATGCAATTGAGACTAAGAATACAAGAAGGCCGGGGAGATGGCTCAGTAGGATAAGCGCTTGACTGGCAAACGCAAGGATCTGAGTTCAATCCCTGGTTCCACAAAAAAATAAATAAATAAATAAAGGTAGAGACTAAGAATACAAAGAATCCATGAATCAAAAAATTGATTCTTTAAAAGACTAAGTAAAATTGACCAACCCTTAGCCAACCTTATCAAAAAAAGGAAAGACTCAACTCCATACAGTGAGGAATCAAAAGGCTAAGATCACTATAGATCCTGCAAAAGTTCACAAGGTCATGCATACTACTTTGACAACCTATATTCTAATAAGATGCAAAATACAGAAGAAATGGACAGATTCCTAGATACATATGAATACCAAAGTTGAATCAAGAAGATACAAAAAATGTAAATAACCCAATATCAAACTGAAGACATAATTAAAAACTTACCTACAAAAAAAAAAAGCCAGGTCCTGATGGATTTATTGCTGAATTCTACAAAAAGATTTGGAGATCTAATGCCACAATTCCTTAAACTCTTCAACAAAACTGAAAGAAAACCAATACTTCTAAAGTCATTCCTTGAAGCAACTGTTACCTTAATATCAAAATCAGAGAAGGACCCAAAAGAAAAAGAGAACTACACACGAATCTTCCCAATAAATACACACGCAAAAATCCAAAATAAGATACCGGCAAACAGAAAGCAGCAAATCATTAAGAAGAGTATACACCATGACCAAGGAGGATTCATCCCAGAGATGCAGGGATGATTCAACATATACAAGTCAATAAATGTAATGCACTATATTAATAGAATCAAGAGCAAAAGCCACAGATCATTTCAATAGACAGAAACAAAACATGTGACACAATCTAACACCCATTCATGATAAAAACTCTACAGACTATTGGAATAGATTGTTTTATCTTAATCTCATAAAAGCCATCATAGACAAACCAACTACAAACATCATACTAAATACTAAAACTGAATGCTCTAATTCTCAAATCAGAAACAATATAAAGATGTTCACTATTACCATTCTTATTCAACATAGCTCTGGAGACTTTAGCAAGAGCAATTAGATAAGAGAATAAAATAAAAGAAATAATGATAAGAAGAATTGAAGTTAATATGCAGATGATATAGAAGACCTCAGAAATTCCACCACAAGACTTGAGATTTAGAGGGCTGGCCAAATAGCTCAGCGGATTAAAACGCCTGCTAAGGCAGATGTAGAGGCTGGGGTTTGATCCCCGGTGTGTTGTGCCGGTCCTGCCCCCAGGGTGCACTGAGTCAACGATTGAGACTGGTCATGGTGGTGCCCACCTGTAATCCTAGCTCTTTGGGAGGCTGAACACGGGATCTCTGTAGTGAAAACCTATAAACCCTGTAGACCCTTACTAAAAAATACAAAAAAAAAAAAAAAAAAAAAGACGAGATATAATAACCAAATTCAGTAGTGTAGTTGGATACAAAGTCAGTACTCGAACATTAATAGCCTTCCCATACACAAATAACAAATATACTGAGAAAGATATTAGAGAAACACCACCTTTCACAATAGTAGCCTCCAAAATTAAATTCTTAGGAATCAATCTAATGAACTAAAAGTTTTTTACATTGCAAACTATAGTATCCTGGAAAAGGAGATTGGCGAGGATATAAAATGGAACAATATTCCTTGTTCTTGGGTTGGAAGAACCAATAGAGTGACAACAGCCGTACTTCCAAAATTATACAGATTTAGTGCAATCCTGATCAAAATACCAGTAACACACTTCACAGAATTAGAGAAAACAACTATAAAGATCATTTTGAACCAGATAATTAGAATAACAAAAGTAATTCTAAGCGACATAGGCAAGGCAGGGGGCATCTCAATTTCTGATTTGAAATTATATCACAAAACTACCATGGTAAAAACAGCATAGTACTGGCAAAAAAAAAAAAAAAAAAAAAAGTCCTAAAAAAAAAAGTCCTGGATATCAATGAAACAGAAAATGCAGAAACTACTCCAAACACACTTGGCTACCTTATCTTTGACAAAAGGGCAAAACACCTTTACTGGAGTAAAGATAGCCTCTCAAATAAATGATGCTGGAAAAACTGACTCTACACATGCTGAAAATTAAAACTACATCCATAGGTCTTATCATGCATGGAACTAAAACCAAAATGGATCAAAGATCAAAATATCAAAACAAACACTAAATCTGCTAAAGGCTAAATAGTTAGAACTCTTGAAGACACTGGTACAGGCAAAGACTTTATGAACAAAACACTGATCACACAGGAAATATTAAAAACAATCAACAATTGAGATCTCATCTTATTAAAAACTTTTTCCACAGGAAAAAAAAAGACATAAAGAAAAGAAAAACCACCAACCGAGTGAAGAGACAAAGCACAAAGTAAGAAAAAAATTTGATAGCTGTTCCTCAGACAAGAGACTAAAATCTATAATATATAAAGAACTCAAAAAAATCAGATCTCCAAGTTTAAAGACTCAGGGCAGCCAGCTAGCACAGCAGACTAAAGCGCCTGCTTGGGCAGAGTGCAGCAGATGAGTTTCAAACCCTGGCATGCTGTGCCAGCCCCATCCGCAGGGCACAATGACACAGCAACTGAGACTGGGCGTGGTGGCATGCACCTGTAATCCCAGTGCTTGGGAGGCTGAAATCAGAGAATCACTACAAGTCCAATTTATGTAGTGAGACCCTGTAGACCCTGTAGACCCTGTACTAAATACATTAAAAAAGAGAGAGAACAAATTTAAAGACAGTCCAAAAATGGAATTCTTAAATGAGTTGATACTTCTCAGATGAAAAACTAAAAACAGCACAGCAAATAAATATATGAAAAGTGTTCAACATCACTGGTCTTTCAAGAGATGCAAATTAAAACAATACTGAGATTCTATCTCACTCCAAAAAGAATGACTTTTTTTTTTTTTTTTTCAGAACCGGGGATTGAACTCAAGCCACTGTGCTTGCCAGGCAAGTGCTTATTCCACTGAGCCAGCTCCCCAGCCCCAAGAATGACTATTATTAAGAAATCAACCAATAACAAATGCTTCTTCCACTGATGGTAGGAGTATAGGCTCCTATACTCCTGCAGAAATCAGTGCAGAGAACTACTCAGAAAACTAATAATACAGCTATTCCTCTTTTTTGTATCTTTCTGAGTGGATTAAAAGCATCATACCACAGAAATATATGCACTTCTATGTTTATAGCAGCAGTTTGTCATAACTAAAACTTGGAAGCAGCCCAAATGTCTATCCAACGAATGGATAAGGGGTGTTTTTTAATACAATGGAGTACTACTCTGTCATAAAGAAGCAAACTTGTGATTTCTAGTTAAATGGAAGGATCTAGAGACCATACTCGACCATAAATCAGACGCACATGTGTAAATACTGCATTGTTTCTATGATGTGAGAATCTGAAAAGATAAATAACAACCAAGATGTACAACAGATATTGGGAAACAAGAAGCAAATGTTAAAATGGAAAGGGGAACAAGGGAGGGGGAGGGCAAAAGGGAGAAAGGAAAAAGAAAAAATTAGAAGGAAAAAAATGGAAACAAAGTTATTGTAATTAAGGAGGGAGGAGGGGTTAAAGGAAAGGGAGGGGACTGGGGAAAAATAATCAAGATACATCATGTGCAGGTACAAATTCTCTATGATAAATGTGGTCATATATGCCTAAAACAAACCGATAAAATTAAGTGCAGTGAGTTATAGGACAAGATTTAACAACTGAAATTTTATAGATCCAACCCCAAAACCTGCCCAGTTCTTAGCACATTGTTCCTAAAACATGGCTGAAGTAGTCTGAATACTAACCCAGCCCCGTGTCCCCGCAAAGCGCATTTCTGTACCTGGTGCAGTGCCATGCTGGAAGCGTGAAGGTCAATAGCAGCTAGTGAAGGGATTCGAGACTCAGAAAGAATTTTGTTCTGTTTCTTCATTAGTCTACAATTTCGAGCTACATAGAAATAACCAAAAACAATGAAAACATTAGATGCTCGGCTAGTTTTTTATATTTTCTCCAAGAGTTCCTCAGCATGACCTTATTCCACACAGATATATATTTACCTATTTAAATATGTAAAGTCACCATAGATCATTATTAATATTGTTAGTTTAACACAACTTTAAATAATGTAAGCAAAGGGGCTGGAAGAGCCACAGCACCATAACGCACCCACGCCGTGCAAGGCTCTCAATTCAGGGAGTTGACTGTAGCTCAGCTCGGGCAACCGCACCTCAGTCCTGGAGAGCTCCTTCCGCTTCTTATTTGCCTGCAGGAGGCTCTTTTCACTGGAGACCTGGCAGTGACAGAATGGCTGGCACAGATAACCTTGTTCAAGGTGCACAGGAGTTTCTTTATAACTACTACAAATGCATCCAAAAATGCACGGACTTGAAGGGCTGGAATAACTTTAAAAACTGAAGGATCCTAACAACTCAAGAAGAATGTTTTACCTCTTTGTCCCTAAATTCACTGAACTTGACAACAGGTGGCTAAGCGAGAGGCTCTGCTTCTTCCCACCCCCCTGTAGTCATTAGTGTCCTAGAAGCAGGGAATGGTGCCGCCTGCCACCTCCTGGCTTCCCAGGAGATTGAGTGGATTCCCATACATGTCCTATCACTTCTCCAAGCCTGCTTCTCACTCTTACAGGAAGACCTTGCTGCCATTTTCCTACATTTGTCCTCGGAGTTAGCAAACAAGACCAACTCCCCGCGATTATTATGAAGTAAAACACAACTCTGACTATTTTCCTAATTTTTCTTATCATCATTTCACCATTGAGGGCAGAACTCCCTGCAGAGAGGCTAGAGGCAAGAGCCACCCAGCTGATCCAGGAGAGAACATCTTGCCAGGGTGGCACAGCGGGTTTACTTCCAAGGGCTGCAGCAGAAAGAAGTGGAGCACAGCAACCAGACCCAAGCCATACCCATCTGGATGAGTTTGAACTTGGTAGATTCAGACCTGGTGCTAAGGCAATAATAACTCTACGAAAGGTCAGAAGACAGTGCTATACAAAATGACAAAGGGAAGGAGCAAAATGCATTCCGAGGCTCCAAGCCCACCCAGAACAAATGCAGGAGACAACAGCATAGAAGAAATTGGAAATCATACACCTGAAATCTCTGAAATAATAGCGTCTGAAGTAAAGAAACAACTGCAGAAAGGTATAGAGGATATCAGATCAGAAATAATTTCTGAAGTAAAAAAAGAAATGATAACTATAATGAAAGAAGTACTAAATGCTTCTAAAGAAGACACTGATTAAAAAAAATAGAGGAGAATAGAAAAATGATGGAATCCTTGAATGAGCAATATAGGAAAGAAATATAATGTATGAAGCAGATTCAAAGTGATATACAGAGGGCTGGGGAGATGGCTCAGTAGAATAAGTGCTTCCCTGGCAAGCGCAAAGGCCTGAGTTCAATCCCTGGTTCTGAAAAAAAAAAAAAAAAAGCAATTTACAGGAAATTAAAACCTCAATCATTTCATAGTTGATAAGGTCAGAAAAAAATCATAAAGTAAGGAATAAATAGTACCACTTGAATTCTACAACTTTATAAACTTGATACTTTTTTCATTTAAGAACTATAGAAACCCTATATTCTTCTTCACATTTTTCAAGTAAGAGGTGCACAGATTATGAGATTTTCTAAAAAAGAAGTGTATAATGAAATCATATATATGCATGGATATGCATGTCTAAATGATGAACACACAGCCAGCACACATGCGGTGGTCATGCCGAGCGCTGGGGCCCTGTGAGTATGACACTCCTGGTCTCACGGGTGCGGAGGAGTGTGGCTCACTTTCCTCCTTTGGCAAGTTTCTGCTTATTCTTTTAACAGAACAAATGCTGAATCTGGACTCAAACCAATTATAAAATAAGTTAGCTCCAAAAACTACCTATACATCAAAAAAAAAAAAAAAAAAATCAGTTCAAAGTACCGAACTATTTCAACAGTGACAAATGCAATGCATCCTAAGTTTCTAACTATGCACTAATTCACATTTGGGGAAGGCATGGTGGTCGCTGGCCCTGCTATGAAGAAGGCCAAGCCTTAGCTCCACCTGTCCTGGGCTTCACTGCAGAAAAAACAGGGGGCCTCCACTCTAGGCATTATGTCCTGCCATCAAAGAATAAACACAAGCGGAGATAAAATTATTAGCCAGCCCTGATTGTGCTGTGACTACATGTAGGCTGATACCAAGTCTGGTAAAATGCCACTGAGACAGCTGCTCTGCTAATCAAAATCATCTTCCAGATAGGCCAGGATTATCGAACACAAACACCGCATGAGCATCAGGGTGTTACCAAAAAGGAAAGTATTAAGAGCACAGAAACCCAAATGAAGAATAACTGAAAGAAAACCTAGCAGAGTGTGAAGTCATGAGAGATAAAAGATATTGTTCAGCTCTGAGGATCATGAAGGCAGAGAAGAGAAACTCACTTTAAAAAGTATTCCTCTGTGAAGAGCTGTACTTCCTTTGCTCTGTGAACAGGCAGCTCACTGCCACATTTGTGGGGGGCGGGGGTGAGTCCAGGTCTAGGGTGGGGGGCAGGAGCTCTGCCACCCAGCTCCACTCGGCCCTGGGCCTCCTTCAGTGTGCTGAGAACTGCTTCAGGTTACAGAGGAGCAGGCAGGAAAACAAAGGCAGCACCCACCTGGGACCGGGAAGCTCGCATCTGCCTCGGAGAAACAGGCAGTGTAGGAGCCTACAGAGGATGCCAACCACATGTGGTGGGGGAGAATTAAGCAGAGAGGGGGACAGAGACAATGGGAGACGAAATGACTCAAACTAACAACGATGGGCAGCACAGCAGGCTTCATGAAAGCTGCAGAGGAGAAAAAGTGTACTTGGAGGGTCACCTGGGAAGAACATTCTAGAGCAGAGGAAAGAGGAAACATAGAAGCCCAAAGACAGGAAGCTGGTCATATTCCAGGAGTAACAGGGAAACAAGTACGGATGGAACAGACTGACCAAACAGAGAGCAGATGGAGGTGGGGCGGAGGAGGGACATTGCCTGATGCAGGGTGATGGACAGGCACTGAGCAGGACCAGGATGATCTCATGCCACTTTAGAAAGCAGCCTTCTGTGGGCTGTGCTGGGCACTGGCAGCCACCTCGGAGCCCTTCATGTGCTGTTATCACTAAAATCTGCTAAGATGCTTCTGTTCTGTGCATCTCCTCACTAGACCCCGAGCTTCGGGAAGGGAAGCTGACTTACTTTAGTTTCAGTGGCTTAAAGGCAACACATAGATGATTAAGCTATTCAGGCAACTTATCTCCTCATTTGCTCTAAACAGAACCAATCAGCAAGTGTCAGGTTAAGATTTGCTGTGTTGCTGGATGCAATGAAATGAGGGCACTGAAGCCAGTTGTAATGGCACATGCCTGTCATCTCTGCCCTTTGGGAGGCTGAGACAGGAGGACTGCGAGTTTGGGCCCAGCCTGGGCAACTTGGCAAGGCCTTGTCTTAAAATAAAAAAATAAAAAGACTGGGGATTTAGTGCAGTGCAAAGGTTCTGGGTTCAACACACACACACACACACACACACACACACACACACACACACACACAGATGGCATTGTCTTAATATCTTTCAGACTTACGAAACTTATTTAAACTTTCAGAATTCCAGATTATGACTTGGCAGGCACAACTGCATCTTTCATTTTATGTGTCCCAATGAAACTCAGTTCTTCACTATCCAAGTGAACAGTCACACACATCGAGAGCTGACGCGTGCTCACTCTGCTACTGAGAGCACTTCACTTACCGACGTGGGCACGTTCATAGCATAAACTCCTGATGGCGAGTGTTTATTTGGCTTATCAAATGGAATGCAGTACTTCTTGGTTCTCTCATCCACTCTGTAATGAAAACCGCTCTGAGTTAGGAGCAGCAATAATTGTTTTTTGCAAGCGCAAGCCCACACGACAACATACATTGCCAAGCTACACGCGGCACCATCAGCCTCCACTGCCTGTCCTCAGTGCACTAGGCACACCTCTGGGGGCTTGCTTTTTCTTCCCCCTGCCCTTACGCAGCCTACATGGTGCCCTCTCCTCCAATCAGCTCACCCCTTCTGCAAAGTCCCCAAAGGCACATGCCAGGCAGCAGCAGAGTCCAGCCCAGCTCTCTCTTAATCAGTTCCTGGAGTAATTGGCTTAAACAACACAGCCCATGTTCTTAGGTCTTAAGGGAAAGTTTGAAAATCAAATCGTAAGGGCCCAAGGGCCGGCCAAATAGCTCAGTGGATTAAAGGACCTATAAGCAGGCACAGGGTCCGGTTTCAATCTCCAGGCCTGCAGTGCTGGCCCCGCCCCCAAGGTCAGCAATTGAGACTGAGCGTGATGATGCATGCCTGTAATCCCAGCTCTTGGGATTACAGGAGGCTGTGAATAGGCGGATCACTATGAGTTCGATCTAATAATGAGACCCTGAACACCTTGTAGACCCTTCCCTAAAATACAAAAAATAAAAATAAATAAAATTAAATCCTAGTAATTACTATCATGGAGGTTAAAAAAGTTTTGAAACTGCTAACTAATAAGTAAGAATAGCTGTAGAGCAAGGCAGGTCTGCCATACATGAATCCGCAGACATTTATAATTTGTAAACATAGCCTTACATACTTTATCCTCATTTTGCAGATCCATACCTGTAACTCTGGGCTCCGGGGTTACCACCAGCAGCTGCTGCAGATGGAGTGTGTGCCAGTGGGGGGATGGCCACACTGGGGACCCTGGTGGCTTGGCTGCTGCGCTCCCCAAGGCGGCCCGAGGGCACTGTCTGCACGAGGCTTGTTCCACTGTTACGAAGACAGCTGGCATTGGAAGCTCTAGAACCCTTTTCAGTTTTCTCTCCATCAACTTTTGGCCCTTTCATTTTAAATACTTTGGAGTCCTTAGTTTTCATATCAGCATTGGTATCCTGACCATTAATAAAAATGTTAAGAAGGTTAATGAAGTAAAAAAAAAAAAAAAAAAAAGGAAAATTACCTCTTCCTATAAAGTACTTTTACCTAGAGCAGAATTTGCCTGCTTCCCTGGCATCTTCATTCTGCCCATGGAATTAAAATTAAATCCAGATTCTTATTCAGCTAGTTACTGTGAAAATACAAAAAGAACAGGAACACAATTCACACTAACTATGACTTACATACACTTGTGTGTGTATGTGGACGTGTGTGTGTGTGTGTAAAGTTCAATGGGAAAAACAGGAAGGAGCAATCAAGAATCTCACTTTTATCCTTGTATACTCTGAGTCAGGAACATAAGCTTGAGAACACTTTCCCCTTCTGGTTTACTTCATGGGTAGTGGGCTCCCTTATCAAGAACAGATCCTGGTCAATTCTTAAATGTGTACAAAATCCTAAACATAATTTTTCTCGCATCACTTAAGTGAAGGTGGACCAGTGCACGGGTGCGCGTGTTTACCTGTGCAGACGTACACATACACACGTGTTTAGACATTCTCTGGATGGGCATAGAATGGAGGTCCTCCAAAGGAGTCATGTCTAGAACAGACCCTGCAGACTGCCTGACCGTGGCTGGCTTCCTCACCATGCATGCTGGAGGCTGAGAGCTGACTGTATCTCGGGTCACCGTAGGCCCTTTGCCTCCACCTTGGTACCTATTCTAGGTACCAATACAACACCCGCAAGGCAAGCGTGGTGTTGTATTACTAGCTTGGCGGCCCTCAGCCTCTACTTCCCAACACTGACAGAAGAAATCCCCACTCAGCTGTAGCCCACAACTTGTGGCTCCCAGCAACTGAGTAAAATACTCCACTCCTGACCTTCTCTACTAAAGAAACTCATGTCACCTCTTTTACAGCAGGAAATGTCGCTGAGGGTAACCTGAACCTGTGTTCCCAGGCCCCAGCTACTCCCGTTGGCTTGGCATACTATCAGCTTGGCATGAACTATTTTCTGACTCCCTTTGAAGCAGAGTTATTTTACACTAACAAGTTAAACAAGCACCGCTGCACATCAGGCACATGGCAGGCACCCAGAAGGGAAGCCACATCAGCAGGGACATACACTTACAACAATGCTAAAGGGGAACAGCTTGCTCAGGGCTTCCCCCAATTTCAAATTTAAAACATGAACATTTACCTGTATCACAAGTGTTCTTCTTTGTTCAGCTATGGATTCATCTTTTTCCTTTTCCTTCTTTCTGTTTTGGGATTTTTTAGGCAAAGAAATATTCCTGGCATCTTTCTGTATTTTTAACTGTAGTTCTTGGGAGAATCTATATAAAAATAATCAATAGTATAAAATTTCAGGCAACAAGTATTTTAAAAACCCTGATTTTAACGATTTTTTTTTAAATTGAGTGCTACACCACACATGGTAAGGTATACCTATAATGCCATCACTCAGGAGGCTGAGACAGGAGGATCACAGTGAACTGGAGGCCAGCTTGGGCTACATAGTGAATTCAAGGACAGTCTAAACTACATGAGAAATCCTGCAGAAAAAAGTGGGTGCTCTGTAACTTTCAGGGACCCAAAATATAAGTCACATCAGCAGGGACATACACTTACAACAATGCTAAAGGTGAACAGCTTGCTCAGGGCATCCCTCGATGTAAAATTCCTCCCTTCAGGCAGGCACAGAGCCCACACAGACCCCCGTCTGTGTCACCCACCAGTGCAAGCTCTGAGGATGATGCAAAGCCCAGGCAAGAAGATGAAAACTGCAGCCCTGCACGCAGGCGTGGGGCCTCCCCCCTCAGCCCCAATCCCTCACCAACACAAATGGCTACACCAAGCCCACCATGGGGAAGAGGCGGTGGTGTAACTGTATCAACCCCGAGTCCTAGAGCCCATTCTTCTTCAACACAATGACCAAGACTGACATGCTGACATGCCAAGAACCTGCGCCCACTGGGCCTAAGGGCAATGGTTCACGCGACGAGCACTGGTCTGGCTTGGACACAAACACAACTCGACTTTCCTCTCCTGTAACACTATTTCTACTGGCAAGGAAGAGTGGCGGAGAGGTCTGGCGATTTGGTCTTGATGCATGTGGCAGGCATTTGCCTTCACAAAAGGAAAACTGAACTTGTCACTTCAAGAAACACAATTCAAAACTTCATGGCAAACTTAAAATTCCGTGTAACCTATGCTCTTAGAAAACTCAGCAGACTAAGCCCCTGCTTAGGCAAGCGCAGGGACCAGGGTTCAATCCCAGGCACCATATGCTGCACTGGTCCCACCCCGGGCATGCTGAGCCAGCCACAGAGACCAGGCGTGGTGGTGCACACCTGCAACCCCAGTGCTGGAGAGGCTGAACACAGGAGGATCACTAGGAGTCCCAGCTGCAGAGTGAGACCCTGTCCCAAATACATTAAAAAAAAGATAAACTTCAGTGGTTCAAAAGCCTTCTGATGAGATGAAATGTGAAACGTAAATATTGCATAATGAAATATATCAACATTTTTAAACAATTTAGCCAAATCAAAATTTTCCAAATCACTAATGAATGACATTAATAAAGTACATATGAGTAAAATAACCATTCAGAAAATAAGACAGAAATGGGTTTTAACACAACAGGTGAAGAAAAGTACACTGATACAGTTTCAACATATTTATGGAGAAACCAGGCAAGTTCTGATATAGCATCAGAACTAGATATAGAATGAAGAATACCCACAATTACTTAAAAGGCTATTAAAATACTTTTCCTTTATCTTAAATACAAATTTGGGTGAGGCCAGATTTTCTTCACATATTTCAATCAAAAGAAACCTGTCATAAGTAATGGAAAGTAAAAGCAAACACAAAACTACAACTATCCACTCAGGAAGCTGAGGCAGGAAGATTACTGCAGGTTCATGCTAGCCTAGAGTACAGAGTGAGTTCAAGAGCAGCCTGAACCACAAAGCAAGACCCTATGTCCAAAAAAAAGGGATTATCTTTCCTAGTTAGCTAAACGCTAATGAAATTTGTGACTGTAAAGCAACGTCGCAGACCCTGACCTCACGATTTTCTGTTTGTCAACTGCACAAGGCAGCACCAGAGCTACTCAGCAGTGCCAGCACCCATGGCCTGGGCACCTGGGTGTCTTCAGTGGCAGTGGAAACATGGTGTGCATGCTTGCTTGTGTGTATGACTGGCACCCTTGGGTGATGGCATCACACAGCAGGTAGCAGCCTAGGAATCAAGGATCTGATGCAGATGGCCCCCGAGGAGACAGACAGAGCACGCAGAAGTGATTGCTTCATGACACCAATGCAGGAAAGGCCCCAGCCTGCGACAGCTGCTGAGTGCGGTGGGAGCACATGGAGGGCACAGCTCACAGGCAAGGCAGTAACCCTGCAGGATGAGTACTGTGGCGTAGGGCTGCAGAAGCCACATTGCCCTGCCTGTGGCCCCTGGCCTGCCAAGCAGCGGCACCTTACCTATCAGCAAACCTGTCCATCCGAAAGAAAGCGTGGTTAAGGAGCTCAGCACACAGCGGCCTTTTGTCAGGGTCAATGTGCAAGCATTTCTGCAAAAATAAAATACACAATTCTTAGCCAAGAAAAACTCCCAACTTTAAATGCCTAGATACCATATCGGAAAATAGATCCCCATTACAGCTGCTGGATTTTAAACATCTATAATCAAGAATAAAGTACAACTCTAGAAAACAGCGATCAATGGTTGCAAATATCACAGAAACAAAAACCACCATCCCGTGTCTCTAAATGTAACAAATAACCTTCCAAGAAGTATCCCTCCCAAATCCTCCTGTGGTGAGCTAGACTCTCACCATACTCTAGCCCCTGCATTTGACCACATTCCAGGGACAGTGGTATGAGGCACACAGCCTACCTGCTGCAGTACTTTGCAAGATTTAAACAGAAAGGAAAGATTAAAAGCTTATATTATAGCAGCACAACTCACTATAGCTAAGCCTTAGAGCCAGCCTATATGTCCATGGCAGATGAACTTAAAAAATGCGACATTTACACACAATGAAGTGCCACTCTGCCATAAAGGATAAATCTGAGTCATTTGTAGTAAAATGGATGTACATTGAGACCATGATGTAGGATGAAATAAATCAAACATAGTTTATCTTCTTTTAATTTTATTTTATTTTGAAGAGTAAAAACAAAAGCAAAAACAAATAGTAGAAACAGAGATTAAAACAGGGCAACATATAACAATCCATATGTTACAGATTTTCAAAATAAGAATAGACAAATCTTGGGAACAACCAAAATGCCCATCCCTTGAGGAATGGATGAAAAGGATGTATACAATGGAGTATTACTCAACTATATAAAAAAGACAACCTTGGGGCTGGGGAGATGGCTCAGTAGAATAAGCATTTCCCTGGCAAGTGCAAGGGCCTGAGTTCAATCCCCTGTTGCACCAAAAAAAAAAAAAAAAAAAAAAAAAAAGACAAACTTGAGGGCTTTATAGCTCAGTGAATACAACTAGGGGCTATACTCATAAGTGAAGTAAGAATATTAACAAGAAACAAGAATATTAACAATGGTTATTATATTATCTATTTTCATCATCAAATTTGTTGCTCAGATTAATAGATATAGTTATGCAAAAATGAACAAATAATTGATTTTTTTTTGTACAGGGTCTCACTACACTCCTGTTTTCAGCCTCCTAAGTGCTCGTGCCACCACACCCAGTTTCAGTCACTGTCTCAGTGCACCCAGGGGTCAGGGCCAGCACGGCATGCCGGGGATTGAACCCTGGTCCCTGAACCTGCCTAAGCAGGCTCTTTAGTCTGCTGAGCTATCTGACCAGCCCATGGTACACATTTAGAAGACCAAGATGAGAGGTATTCAACCGTGATTTTTGTATTACACATCACTATCCTTGATGTAGTTGCTTAGATCACAGATATCAGTCAAGGTGAAAATTTTAAACATTAACTGCTATTTTCAAAAAATTGATGGAAATTACTAGTACAATCATGTCAGCCAGCCTGTATATACACTTGCATGATTTTCCCCTTTCCTTTTTTCCTATCTTTTCTCCTTTCTCTCATCTTCTTGTTTAATCCTTAAATTCAATTTCTTTCTGTTTTACTATATATCTATTATACATTAGAGGTATTATTTATTTTTTCTGGCTCTTGCACTAGGGAGACAATATGATATTTACACATGTGGGTTTGATTTATTTCACTTATGAGTATAGCCTCTAGTTGTATCCACTTAGTTATAAAGGCCTCAAGTTTGTCTTTTTTATAGCTGAGTAATACTCCATTGTATAAAAATACCACATTCTTTTCATCCATTCCTCAAGTGATGGGCATTTTGGTTGTTTCCAAGATTGGGCTATGACAAATTGTGCTGCTACAAACATGGGTGCACATATATCACTATGGTATGGTATTTTCAGTTCTTTTGGGAAAATGCCCAGAAGGGGAATAGCTAGATTGAATGTTTAAAGTATCATACTGTTCTACTTAAGGGACACAAATTAGATAAGAGTTTAACTTTTATTTCCTTTAAATCTCTTCACAGACAGACCATAAATGTGATGCCAGTGAAAACTATTTCATCTGTTAGAAGATTATGTAGAAAAGAAGAAATATACTATCTTAAACACATTATAATTAGTTACAAACTTAGTAAACATTTTCCCCCACCCCCGGCCACTGGGGATCGAACTCAGTGGTACTTGCCAGGCAAGTACATATGCCACTGAGCTATCTCCTCGGCCCTAACTTTTTTAAAAAGTTAAAGTGAAAAAGAAAAGTCTTGGGTAAAAGTTATGTGGCCCTGTCTGTTTGCATATTTGGCACAGTTCTGGCTAAAGTGAACTTACAGGCTGGTAATCTTTTTCTGTTTTATTTTAAGGAGAAAAACAAAATTTCAAAACAAGATAATAGGAGGGTAACAATGATTAATACACAGTGTATTGTTATCTTTAATTAGTTACTCAGCATGCAAGATACAGGCATTTAATTAGTCAAAGACTATTAGCACAAATGTTTCTTTTCAATGAACTAAGAAAAATTAGTAATATAATTATCTGACTATCTTGTATAAATATATTGTTTTGCTTTCCCTTCCTCTCCTCTTTTTGCCCATTCCAGTTTCTCTTTCCCTCTGGACAGTGTCTTCTCATTTTATAACACCTACTGTACATTTTGCATCTGACTTACTCTTTCACATCTCACACCAGGGAGACAATACGATGTGCACATACGTGCATCTGGTTTATTTCACCATTAAGTTATTTGTTTGTGTTGCTCCGTTTTACTGATACAGGTATTCACTGTTACCATTTTCCCTCTTTGCAATGCTTTGTGTCCCGTAAATTCTGGTATATGTACTGGCATTATCATTTAATTGTAGAAACTCTAATTTCTTCTTTAATCCGTGACCCACTGGTTGTTCAGGAGGATACTATTTAATTTCCATGTGTTTATGAAGTTCTTGTGGTTTCTTTTACCATTGATTTCCAATTTCATTGTACTGTGGTCTGAAAACATGCATGGGATAATTTCAATCCCCTTGCATTTATGGAGCATGTTCTATGAGCTAGTATGTGGTCTGTTTTGGAGAACATCTCGCATGCAGCTGAGAAGAATAGGTATTCTGATGCCGTTGGGTGGAACACTCTCTAGACATCAATAAGTCCATTTGTTCAAAAGTTTGGTTTAGTTCTAATATTTATTTGTTGATTTTTTTTTTTGTCTAGTTGACCTATTCGTAATAGTGGGAAATCGAGGTCCCTCATTACAATTACATTAATGTTTGATTTTTCATGTCTATTAATGTTTGTGTTATATAGTTGAGTGCACTGGTATTTACTGTATATATATTTACAATTGTCATCTCTTCCTCTTGAATTGTTCCCTTTACAAGGTTGTAGAGACCTTCTTTATCTCTCTTAATCAATCTTGGCTTGAAATTCCCTTCGTCTGCAAATACAGTAGCTACCCCTGGTTTTTTGAGCTCCTATCATATTGTTTCCTTCCACTGACTTTCAATCTATGAACTTCTTTTTGAGTTAAATGTCCTTCTTGTGTATAGAATATTATTAGATCTTGCTTCTTGATCCATCCTGCCAGTGTGTGCCTTTTGATTTTTAAGTTGGGACCATTAACATTGACAGTTATAACTAATATGTATTGACCTATCCTTGTCATGTTATTTTCCTATTGTTGGCTTCCCCCCTTTATTTTCTACTCCCTTTATTTTTTTACATAGACTGGTAGATTCTGTCTGTTGGGGTTTATGGAGTGGTAGTCCTTGCTATCTCTTTCTTAAATGTCCTTCAAAACATTTTGGGTGCTGATTTGGTGATCATAAATTTCCTCAGATGTTCTTTGTCATAGAAGTATCTTATTTCTCTATCAGTTTTTAAAGATAGTTTTGTAGGGTATATCCATCTGAGGTGAAGGTTATTGTCCTTTAGAATTTGAAGTACTTCACTCCAATCTAGGTAGTAATTTTAAAGGGCCAACTTTAGAGACAATTTGAGGTGGTGAAAATCTCCCTAATGTCTTCCTCAAACTCAGGTGACAGTAATGGTCATTTGGAAGCAAGCTTTGGCAAGCCCATTTCATTTTTTTTAAAGCTTTTTTTTAGGGGAGAATGTTTTCACACTTAAAATAGGCTAGATAGCTGTAAATGTTTTCTTAATGAGTTTTAAAATGAATACAACTTTAAGGCTTTCATCTCTGAAGTTCTTTCCCACATTAAATTATTTAAAGTCTTCCTCACTGTATGAGAATTTAGGTGATCAGAGGAAATACCATTGGCCTAAAAGATCCACTAGAACTACACAGAGAGAACCAAGGCTCCACAATCCATAAATTCCCTACCAGGAAGTGAAAAGAGAAAGGATGATTACCTTTGCTAAATCTATTACAACTTCAGAGAGCTTAGGGTAGCGTCTTTCAAGAGGTTCTGTTTCTTGGATTTCAGGCAATCGTGCTCCAGCAAATGCAGGATTTTTATAAAACAGTTCTTGGTGTCTCGGAATTAAATTACCTAGGAGTGAAAGCAGCACACATCTCCATGTACATGAGAGGAGCCAGGTGATGGGACAGGAGTGGGGTAGACACAGGGAATGGAGTTTGGGACCTGTGTCACGGCAGTCTGGTACACGGCAGTCTGCATGGTGGTTTCACCATAAGTTGACTCAAGGAACTGAAGACTGCTATCTCACTTAGAAAAGCTGAATTCATAGGGAACACAGGAAAAGGACAAGTGAAGAATGCCCTTGTAGATCTAAGCACCCACACTTTATTTCTAATGATAAACTATGATGAGCTGACCAAACTGATGACAATACAGTCATGGGGACAGAGTCTAATCTAAGCCATCAATCCCTCTTCCCTGTAAGAATTCAATTTTTGGTCATCTGATTTTGTGCCTTTGTTTCAGATCAGATATGAACACCATATTTTTTCTCATCTTTAATATGTAATGCTTTATGATATATATATATATATATGAAAATACATACGTATAAGATATCACTTATAGCTTTAGACTTTATAGCTTAGAAACTTAAAAATCAAACAATGAAATTACCCCAGTGTTTCCATTATTTCTAGCTTCCAAGTTCTATCTCTGAACATGAAATCAGTGTTTCAAAATATGCGAGACTGTATTCTAGCCATGAACTTTGGCCAAAAGCCCTGGCAAGGCAAGTCTCCCAATCTCTCATCCTAATAGTGGGAAGGAGGCTAACAGCTGTATTTTATGAAATGCTTTGTGTGTGTGGTTTTTTAAAATTGCTCCTTATCTATTTAATATACGTCATATTTACCTGTACCAATGACTTTTAAAAATCTTCATAAAGGAAAGAACCCCTAGACAGTTTAAGGCACAGATCATTTATCATCTTACCTAAACACGTCATAATATGATAGAGCTGGTCAATGTCAGAGTCTCCCGGAAACAGGGGCTCCCCTGTAAGCATCTCTGTTACCAGACAACCAATGGCCCAGACATCAACGGCCCTGGAGAGAAGCAACACAGTTAGACCCCCACCTAGGCATGACTGGACAGGTTACACAGGCTCTGTCCTGTGTGTCACTGCTTGATATACTTACTACTGAGAAAAACCATGCACCTGTAAATTACCCCAGAAGGACACTGTTCTACGACAGTTCTAACTCTCCATCTTAACCAATGGGAAGCCCAGAAACTGCAATTTTCTGACATAAGAGGCAATGGCTTCTGAAAAGACAAAACCAACTGTATGCCTACTTCATCTGGAAGTAAGAATCAGGCTTCCATTCAGAGAACAGGCCTCTACTATACCTATGATTCCAGCATGATTGACAAACCACCATAGCTATGCTGAAGACAGGAATTGGTTGCTGACATGAAGACAGTAACAGGACCAGAAAGCTAATAGGGGGAACATGTTTTTAAACTGACTTAAATATCTGTCAAAAGAGCTAGAGATATTGCTCAGTTATAGAGCACTTGTCCAGCATGCCCAAGGTCCTAGAGCCAATCCTGGCACCACAAAAGAAAGAAAAGTCACTCACAAAAACAAAAGAATACACTGGTATCATTTAGTAGAGGCAAAACAACCCTGAAGTAGCCTTAAGTCATTTCTGAATTATAAAATGGTACAAAAATTGTAGAAAAGCAATAAAATGAGAACTCAGAGTACTTAAGAAAATATTAAAGGATGTTTAATGTACACTGAAAACAAGATGTGGGAAATATTTTAGAAAGATTTCTAACAAAAGCAATAAAGGCTGAGGCAAGAGGATCACTGCAAGGTTAGCCTATGTAGTGAGAATCTGTCTCAAGAAAAAAAAAAAAAAAATCAAAAAACAAACTCCAGGGGCCAGGAAGATAGCTCAGTAGAATAAGCACTTGCCTGGCAAGTGCAAGGGCCTGAGTTCAATTCCTGGTTCTACAAAAAAATAAATAAATAAATAAAAATTGAGTTTGAGGCTGGGGAGCTAGCTCAGCAATCTAAGCACCTGGCTAGCAAGCACAGGGTCCCAAGTTCCATCCCTGGTACCACATGCTGTGCTGGTCCAGAACCATGTGTGGTGGTGCATGCCTATAATCCCAGTGCTGGGAAGGCTGAGATAGGAGGATCACCATGAAGCCAAACTGTATAGCAAGATCCTATATCAACAAAAATAAAATAAAAATTGAGTTTAACAGATCCAACTGGATTTTGAAAGCCTGTTAAACTTTTATTTTTTTTTAATTTTATTTATTTATTTATTTATGGGGGGGGCCAGCCCAGCCCACCAGGGGGCGGGGCTGGCTGGCATGTGGTGCTGGGGGATTGAACCGTGGTCCCTGTGCTTTGCTAAACCTGTTCCAAGTAGGTGCTTTAGACCACTGAGCCATCTCACCAGCCCCAAGCCTGTTAAACTTTTAATAGATGCATATGCAGATTTGTCAGTAGTTACACAGCCAGTGGCCCCACTTGCCAACTGGAAAGTACTTGGTGTTTTCCTATTTCTGGCAATTCATGTGACACAAGTAATAACAGAATTGATGAGACATAAAATGCCAGTTTGCTTGAGACAATACCCAATGGACATGGAAGATAAAAGGGATTAAACCTCACATTTAAGAGATATCTGCTAATGGACCTACAAAAAGTTTCCACTCGTCTTTTGCATAATTAACCTGTTGAGATTATTTGACCCATGCATGCTTAATTATTTCTCCGGTTTTGTCTTCTCCAGATTCAAAGATACACATCTACCCAAGATAAAAATGCCTGGTGTCTATTGAGGGCCTTTAGATAGAACCTCTGAAGAGTATATCTGACTGCCAATCAACAACTACCACCCCGTTCAGCCTGAAGAAGCCACAGTGGTCATCGCCCAAGGTTCCCTCATGGTACTTCGGGTTATTTTTTCAGAGAGGGGAATGTTGCAGAAAGCTAAGTTAGATGGAAATATTATAGGCAGTCAGACAGGGCCAGGCTCTCAAAGGACATACCACAGAAGACAAGATATCTTGCAACTCTGGGAGGGATGGATGCTCCCACCATGGGCCAGACCTAAAGACCAAAGATCAAACAAATGCCAACCTCCCTAAAGATTGGCATCTGAGATGGATCATCACCCTGAGGGAGCCAGAAGAATCATTAATGCAACTACTACTGGATGGCTACCACATAAAGTCCTGTTCTACATTCATGCCCGCTTGCTACATGACTCACTTCCCCATTTGGTCCTGGACTTAACCAATTTTACCTGAGCAACGGTCCTTGTAATCTCATTGGTTGACCATAGTTTTGTCCCACCTCACATCCACCTAAGCGAATTCCCATGTTCTCCACAACCTTAGACCCACCTTACCACACGGTTTTACTCTACAAAAGTCCCTGGAAGAGACAGCTTCCCGGGGACAACCTGCTTAGGGCCCCCCTCCTGTCCCTCTCTTGGACAGGAGCTTTCTTTCCCTCAATAAATATATTCTGCTCATAAAAAAAAAAAAACTCCAGGTATACTGTAAATGCCTGTAATGCCAGCACTCTGAAGTCTGAGGCAGGAGGACCACAGCAAGTTTGAGGCCAGCCTCGACTACATAGTGAGATCCTGTCTCATAAAGCCAAAAACAAGCAAACAAATCCCACATAAAACAAAGCTATAAAGGTCAGTCTTCTCTTCTTTGAGGAACTGAGGGTATGCCTCAAAAGTAGAGTGGCCCAGCCCACATTTGCGTCTTAGGTGTCATCCTCATAATCACACGTGTGGGGTGTGTGTGTGTGTGTGTGTGGGTGTGTATGTGTATTTGTGTAGGAGAGAACTCACTTATGAAGGGTTCTTTTGTGAGACAGGGTCTTGCTCTGGAGCCCAGAGGGGCCTCATGCTCATGATCCTCCCACCTCAGCTTTTCAGCTACTGGGATTACAAGTGGATAAGCCTGGCTTGACAACTTAGGTTTAAAGTATAATTCCTTTAATTTTTTCACCCTTTTCCCTTGCATATGCCAGGCTAGTGCTCTATTCTGAGGGACATGAATGACAGCCCTCTTCTCACTCTATAACTCCCCAGTGCACACTCTAGCCCTCCCCTTAATAACAGCAGACCATTCTGTGCCCATACACTGGTGCCTTACTTGCCATACTTGACATCACCAACCAGCAGCTCTGGTGCCCTGTACCACCGCGTGGCCACGTAGTCAGTGTATGCCTCCCCGGGAGCAGCCAGGGTGCGTGCGAACCCGAAGTCACACAGCTTCACCACACCAGCCTGAGACACCAAAATGTTCTCTGGTTTTATGTCCCTGTGTATGATCTAAGACAAAAAGAGCATAGCACAGTTAGAAAGGATGTGGGGCATTGAGATGAAGAAATACAAAATGGTCCTGGCTTTACAGATCCGGGGAACCAGTTATTTTTGTGATTCAAACTCTAAACAAATGTTTATAGAGAACAAAAAGCTAAGAGATGGGTGTCTGGATAGGCAAGAATTAGCAAGATGATCACTTAAACCTAATACTTACATTGTGACTGTGGCAAAAGCCAATTCCATTAATAATCTGAAATAAATACTTCTGCACTACTTCATAGTCCAGTCCATTTGGAAAGAGTTCCAAGTCATCAAGAATTGTGTGGTCAACAAATTCAAAGACCAGGTACCATCTTTTCTTCTTCTTACACACTTCCAACAGATTTACCAAATTCTCATGCCTCAGTTGCTGTTATAAAAAATGCAGAAGAGTTTTTATAAAAACAAATTATTAGCAATTAGTCACAATCTAAAATAGATCATAGGACCAGGGATAAATCTCAGCAGCACAAAGTACAAGGTCCTGAGTTCAATTTCTGGTACAATAAATAAATAAACAAACAAATAAATGATTAAAATACATAGATCTTAGCATAAGTCAACTATAAAGTATATAAACCATGTACTTTAAAGGTATGTTCTGGCTTTTAAATATAGTCAAGCAACCAAACTCCTCCTTTCCAATCTCAGAAAACACAACAAAGCCAATAAGGAAAAGAAGCCAACAAGGAAGAGAAGCTTAACTTTATCCTTGATGAGACCGCTGGGAACTGAGCCAAGCCTACAGACATTTTGGAGAGGCACACAGCCAGGCAAATGAGCTTCAGGGGCACAGAAGGTATCACCCAGGAAAGAGTCTTTGAGGCAGGGCACAGCCTGGAAAAAACAAACGTGTCACTGCTGCCATGGGCATGGTGCTCACAGGCACCAGATAGAAAGATCCTAAGAGCAGGGGGTACTGGGAAACAATGGGGAAGGGGGTAGACAAGCAGCCACACAGAGGCCCCTGGCTAGAGTCACCATTGGAACAGACGCAACATATCAGAAACAAACTTATAGCCACACGTCTCACAGAACTCACTCCCACTCGCAAGCATCATGGGGGCATCACAGCAAGTCATCGTGGGCCATGCTAGCATGGGATAAGATCCTGGTTTCTGACCAGATGATGTCTTCCCATCATCCAGTCCCAGAAGAATCACTGTGGTATAAGAAGCAATGGAGAAAGAAAAGCCAGTTCAGAAGCACTCAGGGTACTATAAGAAATAAGAAGGAACACAAATGGAGATAAACATTCAAGAAAAGAAAGAAAACATTCAGCCATTTCTGAAAGGAATACAGATCTCAGAATCCTGAAGAAAAGACCACATGACCTACAGACAAGATACCCGACCCAACTGTCATTTCTGTTGTCATTTGAGACCACAGAACAAATTCTGAATGTGAGTAGTGAATCCACTTAGTACAGGACTCAATCTTATACAAATGTGGCCAGTGTGGTTATAAAATAGAAAATGAATGTTATAAGATCAACAATACACAAAGACATTACTAAAAATGTAGAAAATGGGAAAGAGATACAAAGAAAAGTCTATAATGCCAGTACTCAGGAGGCTGAGGCAGGAGATTACCAAGTCTTGAGGCCACTTTGGGTTACATAGTAAGTTCTACCCTAATGAAGATGCACTGAACAGAGGAGGGAATAGAGCAACCGCTTTACAAAGCAGTAGACATATTATATGCTGCAAAAGGCATAAGGGTAACCAACTGTACAAAGATAAAACCTGTTCAAGTGACCAGAGGAAGAACAATATAAAATAAACAATTCATGGGGGTGCAGCTCAGTGGCACAGTGCCTGCCTGGCAAACTCAAGGCCCTGAGTTCGATTTCTGGTACCAAACAAACAAAGCACCAAAATAAACAATTCAAAGGACATAAAAATATTTTAAAGGAACACAATAATGTGGCATTATATGTTCTAACACTTCCAGAACACGGCCTCTGTCCCAGGTACTGTTCTAAGCACTGTCACCCAGATGGCTGGCACGGTCTCATTGCCCACAGGGCCACACACTAATGCACCCTGCCTGAGAGCCCTGACTTTTCTGGCTCAGATAGACATTTACAACTAAAAGAGGAGGTAACCAGTGCAAACGGTTTTCAGAGTTAGAGAAGCATGCTTTCACCAGAAAGAGGAGCTCAAGTGTCAGTGTTGCTATTGTCACCAACCCTCTGGCTGCCATCTGACAACAGCTGAGAGAAGGAGCTAGGTACGAACACTAAGTCATAAGCAACACGCAGTGAGGCGTTTTCTTACCAGGATAACCTGCCTCAAGAGGCCCAGCTCCATGTCAAAACACAGCCTGCACTCTGACTCTCAGGTTGGAGGCCTGAGGAAGGTTTCAGAGTTGTCTTATTTTTAGAGAAAAGAAGAAAATATATCTCTTTTCTTAAAGAGATGCAAAAGTATGGTTTCTGTTCTAAAAGTTAGAAGTTCAAAGATTTAAAAGCTAACTTGAACTACAAGACCACAGGAAAAGCTACTCACAATCACTGTTCATTAATAAAATAAACACCTTCATTTCACAAGTCTTGCATCCTGATAGAACAAATCTTTAATGAAGTCTGTTTTAGAAAATTAAGAAAACGACATTTTGTCAGTTGTTCAGTTAAGTCAATTAAGACTGTTTGGTGTTTTATAGGATTTTTTTTTTTTTTAAGCACTGAGGATTGGACCCAAGGTCTCTGCACTGAGATATGTCCCCAGGTCCTTTTTCAATTTTTGTTTGTTTGTTTTGCGGAACCGGAGATTGAACTCAGGCCCATTGCACTTGCCAGGGAAGCGCTTATTCCACTGAGCCATCTCCCCAGCCCCTCCTTTTTCAATTTTTAGAGAGAAGGTCTTGCTATATTACTATGTTGGCTGACTGTGTCTCAAAATTGTGATCTTCCTGCCTCAGCCTCCCAGAATTATAAAACATTTTATTTGTAAAAACTCCAACGGCTGGGGAGACAGCTCAGGGCATAAACACTTACCTACCTGGTAAGTGCAAGGTCCTGAGTTTGATCCCTGGCCTCACATGCTATGCTGGCTGAGAACCAGACCTGGTGGTGCATGCCTGTAATCCCAAGAAGTTGAGACAGGAGGAGCTTTGCAAGTTCAAGACCAGCCTGGGGGCTACAAAAGTGAGCACAAGGCCAGCCTGAACTGCATAGCAAGACACTGTTACAAAAAGAAACAAACAAACATACACAAAAAAACCTACAGACTACTGCATTGGAAAACATCCCTTTCTCTACCACACATAAAGTCCTTGCTGCTCGGTCCTATAATCATTATTAAAACAGACTCTCACTTCCACAGGCCCTCTGTCTTTGCACTGTATTCATATTTTTTAAAGCAGACTACCCTTTAACATTGATAGGCTAAACAACTCCAACAGGGAATTCTTATTAAGTGAAACACATTGTTTTAAATATTGTGAAATATATAAGAAGGTCAGCAGAGAGTAGGATTCCTGGTTCTAGGTCTAGAACAGGAAAATTCAAGGCATGCACCTCAGGACTCAGAGCTAATTCTGTCAGGAAGCAACAGATTAGGAAATAAGCTTTGGGACCTCTTTAGGACCTTGGGGAGTTTAAGGGCAAAAGTCAACTCCAGAAGTTATGAAGACCAGAACACAGGGAAGCCACCCCCAAGTGAAGGTGGGCCTAAAAGTGACATGCTCCAAAGTACCAGTGGGCAAAAAGCAAACCGAACATCATCACCCGAAGGTCCCGACCTCGGCTGTGGGTTCACATGGAGCCAGAGGCCGGGGTACCGGGCTAAGGCACTTCTCACCCTAGAAGCAAACAGCTTTTCCTGAGCCTCACAAGGTTTCCACAAATAAGTGTTCAAAAATGACATGCAAAACAAAAGGATAATGAGAAACATAAGGAAGCAAAACACCATAGGCAAGAACTCAAGGACTGAGAACTTGGCTGATGCAGGATGATCTTGAGTTCTAGGCCAGCCTGGGATACACAGGCAGTTAAGGCCAGGTTAGATTACTCTGAATGACCCTGTCTCGAAAACACAAAACAGAGAAAAACGTAAGACTGATAGCTAACTCTTCAGCACAAGCAATGGGAACCAGCAGAAGAGTAGAATCCAATCAGGGATACCCTGAATCCCCAACCTAGAGTTCTACATCCTGTTTACAAGGTATGTTAAACACAAAGAAGAATAAAAATTCTCTTTAACAGAAACAGTATACTTTACCAACTTATCTGCTTTTTTTTAAAAGATATACTTCAAAGCCCAAGGAAATGATCCTAATAGAAGTGCAGCCATGGAGGGAAGGCTGAAGAACACACAGGAAGGACACATCAAGTAACTAGACAGTTAAACGCACGCCAGCAGTGAAATGGAAATCCGTGGTGGGGCCAAGAGACAAGGGTAAGCAGTGGGCAGAATTAACATCTCCGGGACTCTCGTAACACAGAATGCCCATTTGGGAACTAAATGAATACTATGAAAGTTGTATACAATCTCGAAAAGACTGGTAAAAGAATCATGATTTAAAAAAAAAATATATATATATATATATATATATATATATGGAGAGAGAGAGAGAGAGAGAAAGAACTAGGAAGAAATAATAAATGTAAATCCAAATATGTGAGTAAGTAGTGTTCGTGAGTTATAAGTAAAGTGAAAGCGCCAGCTGGAGCCAGAGCCCGCTGGACTGGCCCAAGAGGAGCCAGCTACATCTGCTCACAGAGCTGCACCTCATATCTAAGAGCACAAAGTAGCAACAGCAGTGAGGCTTAATGTGCACCTTCAGAGAAGAAGACCCAAACCAGGAGGCAATATGACCTTTGTGGAAGAGATGCAAGGGTGTAAAGAAATCAGTTCTCCCCATGAGAATCTACACATTCAAGGAAACTCCTGGACATTTTTGTGGTAATTAGTAAACTGACTCTAAAATGGATATGGAAATGCCAAGGGAAAACAATTACCAAGACAATTTTGCAAAAGAGACACAAAATTCATCTTACCAGATACAAAACTTTACAAACTAGAATATGACAATGAGATAGTAGGACTAACTTAGACAAATACAGCAATAGAACAGAACAAAGAGTAGAAGAGCTATTCCTACCTACAAGAACATTTAGCAAAAGGGCCATTCAGAACAATAGAGAAAACAAAAAAGAACAATGAAGACAGTATTTTTAATGAAAAATGTCTTAGACAATTGGACATCCATAAGGAAAATAAACCCATATGATTTGACTGTGTCATACACCATAATTAAGATCAATTCCACTTGGGTGTGGTGGCATGCACCTGTAATCACAACACTTGGGAGGCTGAGGTAGGAGGATCTTGAAGCCAAGCCTGAGAGGTCAAAGCCAGCTTGACT